TTGCATACTATCTTGCCGACGGAATCTACCCTAAGTGGCATGTCTTCGTGCAGTCAATTCAAATGCCCCAATGCAACAAACATCAATTTTTTGCCAAACAACAGGAATCATACATGAAGGACGTGGAACGCGCATTCGGGGTACTCCAAGCACGCTTCGCTATTGTCCGCCAACCAGCTAGAATGTGGGATCTTGATGTCTTAGGAAAAATAATAAGGGCGTGCATTATTTTACATAACGTGATAGTAGAGGATGAACGAGATACGTATTCGCGAAACTGGGAAAATATCGACTTTGAACCGTCGAACAATGCTAGCTCTAGCGCCTCTTTCAATGTTTAAACAGACGTGTTGCCGGAGTTTCAAGTCCATGTTCAACACCGATCTGAGGCAGATAATCAAACTAGAGCGGAACTACGAGATAAGACCCAACATATTCAGCTGAAGAAGGATCTCATCGAGCACATTTGGCAAAAGTTTGGGACAACCTCCGATTAGATTTACCATTTTAGTATGTGTTTTCTAGCCTATTTTCAATAATTTGGGTGTGTTTGGTTTTCCGTATGCTTAATAAAATCGTGTGTTATTTTATGTTAATTTAAAAATATTATTGAAAATTAAATTAATAATATATATTTAAATATTATATATTTGCAGCTAAAGAAGCTGTCTGGATGAGGAAGTTCCTTTTAGAGCTGGAAGTTGTTCCCACCATTAAAGATCCAGTACCTTTATACTGTGATAATAATGCTGCAATAGCTCTGACAAAGGAACCCCGATCTCACCATAAGTCCAGACACATTCTGAGGAAGTATCACTTGATCAGGGAGATAGTTGATCGCCGGGAGATCAAGATTGAAAGAGTAGACACAAAAGATAATATAGCAGATCCATTCACAAAGGCAATTGCTCGTTCACAATTTGAGAAACTTGTTGAGCTATTGGGTATTAGATACTATAATTGGCCTTAGTGCAAGTGGGAGTTTGTTAGATATAGGTGCCCTGCAGGCAATTATTGTATATTGTAACAGGACCTATATGTATATAACATCCTTGTTCAAAATGATAGTATGCTATTTTGGTCAGATTTATCTGATGTTCTAAATATACAGATAATGTCCTTAGAATAAATACTAGACTATCAGACATTTCGGATAGTGATCGTAATGAAGAGATCTGATTAGTCGGTAACGTATATTCTAAAATGTTCCTAGTTGATGAAGTGTTGAGATAGGACATCATCACTTTGGTTTAGACTAGTGTATGCTTTATTTCTCCTTTTGAAGGAGATGATCAATCTCTTAGATCATTGATGTGAGACATCAAGATACAGTATACAGGTGACTCATTAGTGAATGAGTTGACTGAACGACTCGCCGAGAACATCTAGTTGGTAATATACTTAACTGTCAAATAGAAGTTCTCAAGTGATATAGTACATAGTAGTCTCTTGACCTGAGGCATGAGTGCAATATCTTATATGTCAGTAAAGATGTATTTAGACTTTTACCTAACCACAGTTCTTATTGAATTGTGCATAACGGTTCTTGTTGGGTACATCCCGAGACATAAGTAGATATTGAGATGCCAAGAAGGGATTCGTCTCTCCCAGTATAGGGGTTGATGTCATAAGATTGTTTGATATAACTATAGCCTGGAAATCCTTGGCCAAGGTGAATAAGATAAACTGAGTGTCAGTTTGATCTTATAGGTTATGAGTTTAATATCAATAAACACTAATCAAGCTATTAGGGTTTGACAGTTTGCCATACCCTAGGCTCAATAGTTTGACATGGTTTGACGAAGAGACCGGACTGTACGGTATTATCATTGAGTGGTCCTGATAAAATTGGATAAGCATCTTGCAGACCTTTATCACAACTTATACCCGGGTGGTCTTCATGTGTAGCTAGCACCTCTGTTGTACTTATGGATATGATCCACTACCGAGTTTTTTAAGTTGGGCCCTAGAGTCACACCAAGCGCGTACTTGAATCCTATGAAACACAATTTATGGAGTGATGCGTATGATTGATACGCATATATGATTTCTTCCGGATACACATAAACGGTTATGTATATCGGTAAAATCGGAATGCTATGTGCTTAGGAAATGAATTCCAGTATTTTTCCCATAAAGTTAACTTTTAGTCAACTAGTTGACTTTTTGGTCAACAGTTGACTTTTGGTCAACTCATTGACTTTTTGGTCATATGATGACTTATTAATCAATGATTGGAAAATTACAAAATATCGTATTTATGAAATATAATATTGATTTGGTATTCTCATTTATGAAATACACATACCATGTATAATGAGTCATGAGATGAGTCATTTAGTGGTATGGTTTGAGCACATTGTTTATTAGCACATGGTTTTGAAATGTAATGATTCATAAGATGATTCATTGCATGACTCACTAGATTAATCATTAATTTTTGATGATTCATTGCATGACTCATAGGATGAGTCATTCATGTCATGAACACATTCCACTCTATAAATATGAGCTCTCTTTCTTATGGAAAGACTAATGAAAAATTGGCTAAGTGGTTTTTTCCATAAGAGAATAAAAGAGAGCTCTCCTCTTACTAAACTTTAGCAATCTTTGAGCAAGAGGAAGTAATAGGATTTTAAGAACTCCGGGGTGGATATCTTGCCTTGTGTCTTAAGAAGACTCCTATTTTATCAAGCCCACTTGAAGACTTGGAGATCCACTACAAGGAGATTTTCTACTACAAGGAGCAAGAGCTAGGGGTTATTCGATCTTCCATCGAATCACGCTACGAAAGTATGACTTTCTAACTCTTGTATGCTCACTTAATAATAAGGATCATGTTAGATTTAATTAGACGATCCATATGAATATTTCATGCTCTCTACATGCTTAGTATTTTTGTACATACATGTCTTCCGCTGTGTATTATGCATGTAGATATAGCACGATTTCCTTCAGCTATATCATGAAAAAGTGTTAAACAGACACTCGTAGCTTCCTCCACTATGGCAGCAGAATTTGCAGCTTGCTATGAGGCATCCAATCAGGGAATATGGCTGCGAAATTTTGTCACGGGACTGCGTATTTTGGAAAATATGGAAAGACCACTAAGGTTATATTATGACAA